CCAGAAATTGCCCTTGTTGGTGCTGGACAAGCATCCTATGGAGGGTCCTGGGGAAGCTGGCACACTCTTAGGAGTCACTGCAGAGCAGAACTGATAGGAGTTTGCAAAGGAGATCAAGACAGTCACCTCCTTTCTGCAAATGTGAACAGAAGAGAGGAATGATTTGTCCAGAGGCAGCAAGCTGCCTGATAGCAGTGTGATGTGGTGGTGAAACGATATATGGGTTTATATGTAAGTAAAACTGTCCTTAAAAGGACAGTTTTTTAACTCTCCTTAAAAGCCCACACTGAGATTTCTCTGTATGGAAACAGAAACTACAAATCTCATCCTTCTGATAATGGTAGCTCTATATCTCAGTAACTCATCTGTACTACCAATATTACCATTGTGAATCCACTATTACTTTTAAACTGTGAATTACCTATACAAAATATCAAAGTGTAAAAATTCAGCTCCAAGTGTAATTTATTCAGTTTTAACTCATGCCCATTTCGAAGCCCTCATTTGCTGTCAATAAAGCACATGGCTGAATGACTATTTCTAGTTAAACCTTGATTGTTTTAAACTGATTGGAAGCAATGAATTGAATGAACAGACACCATCCTGATCAGGTTTTGATTTCAAAGGTCGTAAAAAACTTTTTAAGTAGCAGTGGGGGAATTTTTTTTCCCTTTAGAGCTGTATCATTTACTCTCTGAATCATAAATGCTGTTTTGCAGACTTCACTCCTTACCCCCCAAAAATAGCTCCCATGGGTCAATTTAAGCGATGGACCATTGGCACAAAGCCAGCAGAGAGAAGATAAATGCCTGAGAAGTTTTCAGACAACATCTATGTAAACAATTACTGTTGTCTTGTTTTCATTTCCAGGCAACTGATCCTCAGAGACACATACATAGCATGCAGACAATATCTGGACAGCCTTCCAACCTTTTCTCTCCAAGCAGTCTATATTTTCTCCATGTATAAATGAACAGTATTTTTCAGATCAGGAATAAAATATATGTTTATTTGGAAGATACTGGTTTTAAAGACTCTATGAGTGATCATCTAATGTCATATTTAATTCCTTTTTGAAAAGATTCCCGAGCTTCAATCTGCAGTAAAATTTTAATACAGTCTAGAGTCTTTCAGACTGGGAGAAAAACATAATTAACCAATAAATACACACTAATCCACATTTGCTTTTTGTGCTGCTCAGTGGTCCAGGGCTTTCAATGTTTTTGATACGTTCCAAACAAATCTGATCTGTGCATGGGGACTGCCAGTCTGTGTGTCAGCTTGGGCAATCTGAAAGACTGACATTTGTATTTATCCCTTTATTCAGTTCTCCAAGATAAATCTGCAATTAGGACTTCTTTGATCTCACAAGAAAGGCAATGCTAATGTTTTTGCTTTTATTTTGCTTTCTTTTAATCTCTCATCACAGGAAGAATTGATCCTGCAGTTTTTGAGGCAAATGTCTGTATTTCTCTCATGAATATTCTGCCAGGACAGGATAGTTTTGTGTAATTTCAGCTGTGTTTGTTTTCTCTTCAGCCACATAAGGATAGATAATCATTACCTCTGATAGCTTCTTGCCAGCCTGAGGGGCTCACACACATTGTTGGGGGGACTTTTTTTGTGAGAAATTGTTTCTTACACAAAAATAAAGTTACAGAGGTATTGTAAAAAGGTTCTTTGACGATTTGCGGGGAGCAGCATTATCAAGTAAATCACAGTTCTCTGTTCCAAACTATGAATTCTGTGCAACCTCCTTTAGTGCATGGGATGGAGGCAGTGTGTGGATATCGTCCTGTTTTTGTAGGTATTTTAGGGATCGTGAATTGATCACAACAAACTTCTGGGAAGCTTGGTTTGATTCTTGAGTGCCCAGCTACCAGCAGAGTGTCTGGTGTCACTCAGAGCGCTTTTATAGCTGTGCTATAAAAGGAAGAAATGGTCTGAAGGTTCACGTTTGTCACCATAGGGAAATGGGAGTGAGTTCATTCAGCCGTTGGTTCATTCATTTATTCTATAAGCAACTTATTTTCTGGACACTCTGGAACAAGAGCAGAGGCAGAGTACAACCTAGCAGATGAGAACGTCAGAAGACAGTTTCATCATAGTTTGGAAAGATGGATCTTACCAATATTAGCATGAGAGATACTGATCATGTGTCCTTTTCTAAGTGGCATTAATGCCTTCCCTCATTCCAAATGCCACGTTAAAATTCTACCACTTGTAATATTTAGTAGAATCCTCTTTAAAACTTTATTATCCAAATAAATCCTGAAATGTTTTCACTGGACTTTGAACTTTTCTTCAGACAGATAGCTGTCAGTTTTAACGTTGAGGTCACAGTTTGTGCACACAAATGTCATGCTAGGTTTAGGAGCTAGCAAGCCTCTTAAGAATTTGTGTGTCTTGTAATTAGAAAATATATAAAATCAGCCTTTCCATTTCCGGAAACTTTATATCTGATCTGACACCTTCCTAATTTGCAAGAATTTTATCAACTCTTGTTTCATTTTTCATGACATGTGCTTAGGCTGCATGTTAAAGAAGCAACAACTATGGCTGTAAACTGCTTGTGACATTTTTATGGTTATAAGTAGGGGAAGTAAAAAAAAAATTTAAAAAGAGCTCCTTAGAAAATGACAGCTGTAACACCAAAATTGCTTATCTATCTGAAAAACAATATTGCATTACCTAAAAGCAGTTCTGTGCAGATTTGTATTAGGATCTACAAAAGACTGAAAGCAAAACTGTTTCAGGAACTTGAATAGCTTCTTGCAGATTTTTATATTCCTGAGGTTTTCACTTTTAGTGCCAAATTTTCCTTCTGAAGGATGCTATGAAATATTAGAGGCTGTTGTGAATGAGTGTTTTAAGTTTTTTTAAGGAATCACCTGAAAAGGTATCAGCAAAAACAGGTTTAATATAAAAGCGACAGCACGACAAAGTTTGTTGGCAAGGTTCACTCTACTACTTACTAGATGGTTAAAGCACACTGAGAAAAAGCAAACGAAAATCAGAAATCAATCAATCCAGACTGAAATAAGTCCAAACCTGTCTATGTGGAGGCTGGGGGGAGAGGGCAGGGAAGAGGAATAGGAAAGGGTAAGGAAAAAGAGGAATACAGAAGACCCTCCTGTTGAGTCACAAGGTTCACAGTAGACCCTCATGCAAAACTGAGCTCAGACCTGACCAACAGTTTATGCCTAAAGGCCCAACATCACTTAAACTTTACAAAACAGCACTTAACAGCACTTAACTTATCAGTACTCAATTGATAACTGAAGCTAAACAATTTAGCAAAATATTCATATCGAATTTACTATATCACAACAATAACTCACAGGTCTGACTTACCACAGATTTAAAGTATTTAAGGATCTGAGTGAACAACATTCCTAGTCCATTTCCTGTAGCATATTCACACTTGCATGCACACACAGAGTCAGTACAAGGTATATGCATTTGAAAAATTCCCCTTGAATTCAGTGAAATACTCACTTTGGATGCCTTTGCATCTTCTCAACTGGCAAAGGGTTGAGCCTCGAGGAGTCGAGTGTATCAACTCAGGATCCTTTGTTGTGGTTCACAAGTCTCCAAGTGTAGCAAATTTGAGAGTTTGCTGGCTCTGAGAGGCCCCACTCAGAGGGAGATGCCGGTCACAGATCACTGTGGTCCAGGAGAGATCAAAGGGTCTCACTTTGGACCACTGTTCATAGGGTCACAAGAGAGTTGGCTTTAGTCATAATAATTTTCCATCCTGACCACAATTCAGGTCAACTTTCTTTGAAAGTTTGATAACAAAAATATTATTGCACTTAGGTTGTTATTCAGGCAAGAAAAGTAAGTTTCCAAGGCTGTTCATTAAAAAGCAGGAGTTTGTTAGACAGCACTAGTTCCTGGGAACAGACAGTATTTCTTATAATCCCAAGATGACCTGAGCCCAGGTGCTGTTCATCAAGGCTGAGGCCTAACCAGCATTTCTCAGATCATATTGCAGCCTGGGCAGGGAGGGAGGACACACCGCCACAGAGGCCTAATAAAAGTCAGTTAAAGAGTAATGATGTGGTGAGCTTCAATCTTTTGAGTTTGCTGTTACAACTTCTAGGATTGTCTCCTATAACCCCATCCCTTAATGTAGAGGTGATTGCAAATACCATCTCATTCATGGGTCACACAGTGAGAAGCTGTTGTCAGCCCAAGTTCCCATGATGGGTGCCCAGGGAGCAGCTCCAGGCCCTCGGATTGCCCACTGTCGGGGGGAAAGGAACCATGTACACCATACACAGAGAGCACCAGGCTTCCCTTTTTCTCCAAATATCATTAAGATTTCCTTCAGAACATATATCATGTTTTCTTATAAACGAGTATCCCAATCCTTCAGTTAACATCTGTGTGAGAAGCCTCATGTAGATTTTTATAAACTACACAACGTCTCACAACACGCTTCTCACAAATTACCAGTGACAGATCAGAAGTGGAACCAAAAATAGCAGATTCTTATTAAGCAGTTACTGATGTCCCAGCATGGTGCCAGAGCCCTCCAGGATCATGGAACACAATGGTTTAAGGCTTGCAGTCAGCCCCAGCACATGAGGAGCCAGCAGGCAAACTTTGCCACTGACAATGACAATAGCTAAAGTGACTTTCGAAATCAGTGTAATTCAATTATGCTTATTAATGAGGCTCTTCACACACAACAAAAAGATTATTTGAAAGGAAGAAATTTGCTGGCTTTTAAGACCTTTCCAACCACTAATAATATGAAGGACTCTCCTCTCTTCTTTACTAATCACATTATTTAAAACCGCAGTTTATATCTGAAAACTGACGAGTGATTTCCCACATCAAATGCAGGCTGACCTGGCAACTTGCAGCATTTGTTTCAGTTACAGAGTCAGCAAACCAAGGCATTTTATAATTACGGATCTTGGCTGTTGCTGTTGCTGATTAATACATTTAGATACTCAGCCATTCTTATTGAAGGGAACACAAAAACAGTATTGGAGCTTTTTAATTTTATTGTAGGGTCCTCAATTACCCAAGGGAGCTGCTTACACACACAAATATATTGAAAATGGACAGATATGGGCTCAACAAAAATAACCTTAATACCCTCTCAGAAAAAAAAATCAACCGTTATTACACAAATTCAGAGTAAAGTCCTATCACATTTGCAAGTGAACTCGTATTTAAGTTCAGCATCACTCAGGAATTTTTCCTCTAGTCCAAGTCAAATCTTTTCAGTTAGTTAGTGCACTGAGCTTACACAGTACATTGTTTTCCAGTGTTGCAAGTGGATAATATTGTACATAACCAAATAGTAACAACAGTGTTTTAATCTTCAAAAGTCCATTTGTTTCACTAGAGGTGCACTATTAGAACAGATGTATTTAATAATTATAGTGTAATTGTCATATTACAGCTTCTCCTATTTCACTGTGACAATTGTGTAGTTAAAAATGAATTCTACAGCTAGAAAACCTGTACATATGAGGAAGGAAAAACAGCCACTAGAGATTTGTTCAAAATGAAAAATCCTAATGTTTCATTTAAATAACGTTCTGCTTTTGAAGACAGATTTCCTTAACATTTGTAAGATGGTTATTTTGTAAAAATATACTTCCTTACTCCACAGATAAGACAAAGAGTAATGGGTAAGAGAGTAGGTTTAGCCTAAATATTAGGAATACTTATGCCCAGATAAGTGGTGGATGCCCCATGGCTGGAAGTGTTCAAAGCCAGGCTGGATGGGGTTTTGAACAAGGACAAAAGGACATAGCCTTAAGCTGTGCCAGGGGAGGTTCAGGTTGGCCATCTGAAGAATTTCCTCACTGAAAGGTTTTTAAGTATTGGAACAGACTGACCAGGGAACCGGTGGATTTACCATCCCTGAAGGTGTTCAAGGAACGACTGGACGTGACACTTAGTGCCATGGCCTAGTTAACATGACAGTTAAGGCTGGACTCAACGGTCTTGGAGGTCATCTCCAACTTAAGCGATCATTCTGTGATCTAGTGGAAAGTGGTCCTGCCCACAGCAGGGGGGTTGGAACTAGATGATCTTTAAGGTCCTTCCAACCCAAACCATTCTAGGATTTTATGAACATGTAATAAAATCCCACCGTAACACAGAGCATTCAGTATTAGTTGTTAGTGCTGCTTTGTTTTATGGCAAACGTTGTCCTGAGTTGTTGAACCAGTGTAGGGGAATCAACACTTTTTCCCAGTTGTGAGTAGATGCAGAGTTGTTGATGCTGTGAGATCAGGAGAACAAGGACTTGGACTTCCAATTTAAACACAAACCAGCCAACGCACCCCCTTAAAGTCCCGAAACCTATGGTGTCACTTTTCCGTACTGGAGTGAAGTGAGTCCAAGCATGGCATTTGTATAGTGACAGTTCATTAGAAAACCCAGTATCAAAACTCCACAGTTTCATTTTATGGATACTAAAGCTGGATGAATACAGATACAGTCCATAAGTATTTTATGTATTTTTGCAAGCTGAGCCACAAAGACGTCATGATACTCAGCCGAAGCTCTGCCATATGTAAACTCTGGAAACAGGAATGGACCAACTTAAGTAGTTATTGATCACAACATTTCTCCTGAAAATTGCTACGGGATTGTGGCATCACAAGATGCAGATCTGTTAACTGCCAGCACCATGTAAAACAGATTTTAAATTTTCACATAATTTAAAATGTTTGCAGTTACACAGTGAATTCCAACAAAGGCAACCCAATGTGTTTTATTAGACTATTTCATATTTTTGTAAGCTTATTTTATTTCTTTGCTGTACAAAGGCAGAAATGCAAACTATCTCAATAAATCTACATCAGTAACTACCTAGACATAATACAGGTATGTACACAAAGCCCAATTATTTCACTTCAGTGTTGATACCATAGTTCATGCAGAGCTGGATGCAAACAATGCAAACAGCACCTACACAGTGTAAGGCATAACTCTCAGGATATTTACACCTTGTTCCTTATAGCAAAAGCTTCCTATACACCATTTCTTTGCTAAATTTGTAATTGACAATCCTGCTTAGTAATGCAGAACTCAGAACTGAAAGTGCATTCCTTCATTCTATACATTCTCACACAGATTGTAGACTGTTCCAGGAATAGTTTTCCAACCTTCAATTTTAGAAGCAATTAATTACCTATGTTTTTTGTCAATTAAAATTATAAGGTAAAATACTTTATAATTTTCCCAAAGCTCTGTAGATCCCATGCAATTATGAAAACAAGGCTCCTAAAAGCAATTCCAGGAACTGTTGTGTCTTTTGACTTGGTAAGATAAGTAATCCTATGAAAGCACTGAATCAATCCAACTGCTGTTTTTTTTAAAACACTTTGGAACGTTTCAGGTTATGAAGTTTGCAGATTCGAGCAGCTTTGGAAAAGTTCTATAACACAGTATTTACACTCTGTATTGGATTTTTATGTTGTAATTAATCTGGCATCTCAGAAAAGTTTTTTTCTTCCCTCGGAGATCTCACTTTGAAAGGAAATTCAAAAAGAAATGTGATTACTGTCACTGAAGAAAATACAATTCTGACTTACTTTACAAGCAAAATAAAGTAAAAAAATGCCTAAGATTAAAAAGTCAACTCTTCCCCTCAAATATAAAGCAGCAGTGCTAAAAATAATTTTTCTTTTGTGTTCTGAGCTACTGCAATTCCTTCCACATTTATTTTTATGCCACAACATCCTGAAGCACTGGGGCTCCTGAGAGACTATATTCCATCCAATCTTGTTTTAGGAGATCAAAATACTACATCCCCTCTTCTTAGTCTTCCCTCCCTTAGACAGGGCAGGAATGAGCAACAGCAGCGCACTCATTTGAAACCACATCCCAACTGTCATGTAACAATCTCAGCTGAGCTGGACTCTGTAGTGCAGCAGCTGAGAACTGACACACATTGTTCCATCCACAGAGTGCAGCTCTGACAGGAAACCAGTAATGAGTGAAGGAAGGAAAAGGTCAGGGAACAAGAGTGCCTTGCTGTATGTGCACGTGCCTGACTCTCTGACCTCCTGCTGCTGTGAAGTAACACAACAACGGAGACTTCTCCTCCAGGCGTTTCCTATACTCCCACACATCTTGGCCCACAAACTATGCTCAGAAAATTATACTTGTACAACAGCAGAGTTTACAAATTCATCAGAATGGTACGACTATCTTAAAAAAAAAAAATGTATAAAAATGTAAATGGAGGACATTACCTTCATCAGGAGGAACTGATGGTTCAGTTTCAGAAGTGACAGTATCCATATCTTCACAAGTTTTGGCACCTGGCTTCTCTTTTTCCACCTCACATAGATACACGTCAATGGGTCCTTTTGTGCTCTTCACATGTACTTCTATGTGATCCTATAAAACAGCAACTTGCATATAATTCAAAAATTCAAAGAACAAATCTTACACATGCTTTATCTGTTCTTGCACATATTTTAAAGCCAATAGATTAAGAACAGAAAAAATACAGGAATGATATAACTATTTAAAATTGTTTTACTACTTCCACATAAATAATGACTATTACATATATTTGCAGGACAGTTTTTAAGCAGCACTAAGCTAATAAGTTTTCATTTTTGAAGAAAATGCACTTAAGTACTTGTTTAGTCTTTCTACTAACCTTTAGATATATGACCAAGATTTACTGTATGTTTAGGAAGAGTAACAAAATTTCAAACTTGACAAATCAATGCCATGGATCAGAAAACAAATCAAGAGCACGCATCTTTAACAACACAGCAAAGCAACTAACCCCTATCACTTCTACTACTTCCCTTCAGCAGACATCACATTGCAAGACACAGAGCAAATATAATTTTATGGACAACTGAGAGAAGATTCTGTTCTCTCTAAAATACAGCTTTTTAAATTCTGTCTTTTTATTGCTTTAGGAAGTCTTTGGAATTTTATCTTTTTCATCTCCACTGGATAAGAGCCAGCTCCTTTTACCAGGGAAACCATTGGAGATCTATGCAGTGGAACTAAGTCTTCTTGTTCTACTGATTCATATCTCCTTTTCCTAAGATATCACCACCCTTTCTGTGCACGCAGCAAGGCAAATTTGATGACTGTGCAATTAAGAACATTATAAAAAATGCATATGCAAAAAGAAAGCTGAATTAAAGCTACATTTCTTATCTTAAGCTCACTTCCAGGATTTCCCCTCTCAGAGCACTACTTTAAGCAGTGGGTTCTCAGTATTTAGGCCCCAGTATGTAGATGCAGCATTGCTGGGTGCAGAGGGAAAAGGTCTGGCTCCTCTGTGTGACTGGAATGGAGCCTGAGTATTGCACCATGGGGTAAGGACAGGGCACGGCCCCCACCTCCATCAAAGACCCATCTAGACATGATCTACTAGAGTGACAAAATGTTTTCTTTTTTTCAACTATACCGCACATTTCATACTTTATTACAGCTGTTCCATTCTCTCTAGCAAGACCCAGGTACCTAAAGCCTAGACACTATTATTTAATGATTTAAGTAAAAATACTGTAAGTTTCTCAGACTATTATCCCTACAGCATTGTTCAGTGGAACACAAGAACAATGAACTACCAGTATTTGCATGACAAAGGAAACAAGTTAATTACTGACTGCTGCTGCAAAAAGTCAAATTTGAGAACTTACATCTTTAGGAACTGGTATTTCCAATTTGGTTTCCTCCGGAGCTTTGATTGCAATCACAATCTGTTCTTGAAATGTCTGAATGCTTCGGATATCTTGGTATGTAACATAAGCTAGTGTATACATTGGTCAAGGATTCTGTAAAGTAATTTGCTAATGAGCAGAAGCAAAGAGTGTGATGTCAAGATATGCTGAGGCAAAATACCAACTTAAGAAAAGTGGTCAACAATGGTGTTGAGGTTATTTTAGTATTAGCTTTGTAAAATGAAGCTAACAAGTTAGCTACTGAATTAGCTAACAAGTGGAAAACAGCTTTTCTTTATTTCTAGGAAGAAAAAATATATTCAATATTAAAAAACCCCAAACACACTTGACATTTTTCCCAGATGCTGTCATGAATCTACAAAGCAGAGGGAATATTGTACTTGAGAAACTACTTTCTGTTTTCTAATAGCATGAAAATAATTTCCTGGGAAACTACAGAACTATTTTCTTAACCAGAACAAGTAAAGTGTAAAGAAAATGGACACACTTCATTTGAGCATAGACCTTAGCATTTTGGCAAACAAGGGAGCTAAGTAATATTTTACTGTAACCTAAAGCCAAAATTCAACATTTATGTCATATTGTAAAAGAAATCTCTTTTCTATTGCCAAAACCCATCTGTAAGTCAAAACTGCACTGGAACCTCTCTCAAGAGACAGAACAGTATTAGGACACAAACAACATACCATTATATCTTCTTGGCAACAGGCCACTGGGACTCCATTTTGAGTCCATATTTGTCATCTCGCTAAGGAACTCAATCTCATGGTAGAGATTGTCCCTTAGAGAACTTTATAATGGAGAGAACAAGGTCATGGTCAGGGTACTAAGACCATTGCTGCACTTCGTTCTTCTGCAGGGGAAAGGTTACACAGGCAGCACACACCTGAGAACAGGCTGGACTGTACATGATACTGCAAAGCAAGGTACATGACTGGCAAACACAAATACAGAATAACCAAAAAGTTTCCTTTTTTAAAACTCATCAAGTATTACTGCATACCTGTGGTATGGGCCTATGCTCGTTACTCTGTATGTGAGTAGTTGGAACCAAAATCATGTGTTAAAGTAATGCAAGAGTTGAAAGGATATTTTGCATTTTCTTTGTCATCTGTTAGTTCAAATATCTGATGAGCACAATTGTTGATTAATTCATCCAGAGCTTCTTCCATGGCTGACAAGTCAGAAAGTTCATCTTTAAGGTTTTGCTGCTCTGGTGCTTTTCCAACAACTTGGTCAAGATTAGAACCTCTAAAAGAATATGAAAGTTGTTTAGTATGTTTATCAATAAAAGCCTGTTAATACACATGTGTACTAACAGAAAGCAGTCAGAAACTCTGTCATCCTTTACTCTGCTGAAATAGCTCCCATGTGCTTTTGCTCTTGATAGTTGTTGACGTATTAAATAATTCACACAGCCTAAGGATACAAAATATTATCTATGAAAAGTAATTTAATGCTTTAAAATACTCTCAAAGTTATAAACATTACTAAATATTGTTCGGTTTTACTGTTTCAGAAATTAGAAGTTTCAAAGCCAACTCACATCCACTGGATAAGATTTTTAGATCTTTTCTGAATTAAATCGATTCCATCCAACACATTGGTGATGTCATACACTCTTCGTTTTCGTACTCCAAGTGTTGTTGCTACTTCATTTAAATCAAGAACACCGTCTGGAGCTTTTTTGAGAAGAGCCATAAATCTTCGTGTCAAAAGCACCAAGGACGCATCAAATCGTGGCCTTTTGACTTCCACAGTTTCTGTGAAGTTTTGATAGAATATTTAGGGTAAGCTACTACATAAGCATGAAGTGTTCCTTAAAAAAAAAGGGATAGTGATGAAGTAACAATGAAGATAAAAGTTTGGAAGCACTGCAGTTTTTAATGCTGACATTGCAAAGGCATCATGTAAAGCCTATTAACTACATATACCTTTGTTTGTTTGCAGTGATTGTATCTACATAGCAAGCATGCACCCTCGTGCTTTCAACATTTATGACTTCACGCTGCTAGTATGGATATTAATAGTTGTGTAACTGTATGTTCATAGGACATGAGATAGATCACTGAATGAATACCAATGAAATCCTGGGTTAACAATACACAAATAGTCAGGGGCACTGCCAGAGAAATGCAGCTCTATCTCTGCTCCATGACACCATTAAAATGTTTTTTCACACCCTTTTGGCCCAGATTAACCAGCAGACCTCCCAAATAACAATCAGGCATGGTTCAGGAGTCAGCTTGGCTTCAGGACTGTTTCAGCCTAGAACCGACCAATCTGTTCTGGGGTAGGAGAACTTAATATGTGGACAAACTCTGTTTGCACTATTTGGCCTCAGGGCAAAAGAACTGGTCATTCCATTAATTTACTAATAGAATAAAGATCTACAGACACCCTAACACCACAGGTTTAAGAGAGATCCCTGTGCTATGTGTATCCATTACCAACATATTTGCAGAAACAGCTGAAAAGTCACTGACAAACAGCTTATTTAACTTGAGAATGTTATTTGTGTATGCAAAAAGCACAAAAAAGCATCTATATTTGAGGCACAAAAAAGACATGATACACACACACACTCATTTGATGCCAGAGGCAATGAAAGACTGTTAAATTCTGCTATTACTTGTCTTTTCTCCTGTAAAGCAAACTAGGTATTTCATACCTGTGAAAAATCTGTTCATCTCGAACTGTGTTGCTGAGCAATACTCCAGTCTAATGCTTTAAGAAAAGGTGACTGCACGTGTAAACAAACTTCCCTAGAAAATGCTCTACTTCAAACATCAGTATTTTTCCCAAGTTGAATGAAACACATACTTTTACTCATAATGTATCACACCCATTCCATGGGTTCAAATCTGTGCACTCTTTAACATGAAGTGACAGGTCCAACTACTTGGTTTTGGACTGTGTTACTGTGAGATGTGTGAAAGAATTCAACTGGTGAGAAAACAACAAAAAAACCCCAACAAAAACCAAACACCCAGAAATTCACTCAAGCTTGTTTTTACATTTATTAATACCAGTTGAAAACCAGCATTTGCCAGCATGATGTTTCAGTTTTCTATAACTCACTTTTCCCAAGCATTATTTTCTTTATAGCAGTGGGAAGGTATATTTGCAACAAATTTTAAGAGCAAAACTATGAAGAAGTATTGCTTCACATCTGTTATTTCATTTAGTGTTCAGCATTTCTCCTGCTCTGCTGATATGAGATACATTACAATTTCTCATTTGTTTACAGCATGTACTCACATTGTAAAAAGCCATAAAATACTTAAAGAATAATCTTTCAACATGAAACACAGCAACTTACTTTTCACAAGCTGTGCATCTTTGTGCACATTCAGGTTGATCACTGGTGGCTGGAGAAATAAAAAAGGAAAAAATAACTGTCATAAAATGTTATTTACAGGGGAAGTTTTTTCAGAAGAAATCCCCAAATCAACTTCAAATGCTACAGCCATCACAGTGCTGACAATTCAACAGGTATTAATGTGAAGGAGTGTCACCAGACAGAAGGGATACGTGCTCATTATTTCCTGACAGAATTTTCAGCCCTTAATCTCAGCATATCTCTCTCTGTTTTGGAAAGCAGGAAACACCACTGAAGGCCCTAGTGTTCAAGCAATGGTCACAACACAAAGAGATAACTGCATAATCTCTATAAATCCAAGCTTCATCTATTCCATGTAGCAGCTCATATATGGAAGATACGCTGCTATTATACAGCACTACAGTTATACGTTTCAAACAAGACTGGCAGCAGAGCCTGCTCTGGGCGAGATACTAACGTAATGAACCTAAGCAGGTACTTCATTACACTCCTCTCCCCAATTTAAGAACAGAAGCATTTTCAAATTCAGACTCATTACAGTTGGAAGAGACCTAAGGTCACCTCTGGTCCAACCGCCAACTCCAAACAGGAACAGCCATTAGATGAGAGCAGCTTATGCAAGGCTTAATTAACTGGGCCTTTAAAATTACAAGGGATGGAGGCTACATCTCCCTGAGCATCCCACTACACTGCTTCCCTGTCCTCACAGTGAAGAAGTTCCATTTTACATCAAGCTGCAACCTCTCTGGCTTCTTTTGTTTCAATTCGTGACTATTTTCTTTCAGCCTCTCATCATGTACAACTGTGAAGTGTCTGGCCAGTTTCTTCAGTTCTTAAGATCCTTGCAAGTATGGCATGAAGCTGTGTCAGGGGTGGTTTAGTCAGATATTATGAAAAGATTCTTCCCCCAGAGGGTGGTCAGGCACTGGAACAGGTTCACCAGGGAAGTGGCCATAGCCTGACAGAGTTCAAGAAGCTCTTGGACAACGCCCTCAGGCTTAGGATGTGATTCTTGGGGTTGTCCTGTGCAAAGCGAACAGCTGGACTCGATCTTATGGGTTCCTTCCAACTCAGGATATTCTATGATTCTACTGAAGGGCTGCTGCAACAAGCTCCCTCAGGAGTTTATTAACAGCCTTTCTGTACTACTGGGCCTAATCAGGCACAGCATTCCAAGAGCAGCCTGATACATGCCAAGTAAGGAAGAAGAATCACTACCCTCTGGATATTCTCCTGCTAATACAGCTTCCTATGCCTTAAAGTTAGGGCACAGTGCAGGTGCACATTTAGCCCACTGGCCATCAAGACCCCCAGGTCCTTCCAGGGTGGTCCCCCAGCCTGTACCACTGCAGGGTACAGTGTAGGACTTCACACTTGAATTTTCAACTACCTTGGTTGAAGTTTATGAGGTGTCTGATGATGCCTTCCTCCAGCCCATAAACATCATGAGGGGGCATCTCACATCCTCTTCCTACGAACAGGACAGGTCCTAGGATAGACCCTTGAGAAACGTCACTTGTAACCTGCTTCTGAGTAACGTATGAACTACTAACCGTTCTTCTTTGATCCTGATGATTCATCCAAGGATTTTTTTACTCATCCGGTAGTTTATCACATCTGTAACATCCCAACTCCAAGAGAAGAATGCTGCAGGACAGTTTCAAAAGTCCTGCTAAAGCTAATGTAGTTGACATCCAAGGCTTTGGATCTACAGATCTAGACATTTCATCAGCAACGGGGTAATCAGGCAGCCATGTTGGCTATTCAATCACCTTCTTCACGTGCCTGGCAATAGCTTCCCAGAGAACTTGCTCCATGGCTTTCAAAGGGACTGAAGAAAGGCTGACTTAAGCTGTAGCTGACTTCTACAACCTCAAAAATCACAAGAGCAACCTCACAATAACATCAGCCAGCTCTCTCAGAATGTATCCCAAGAAAGTCTTATGGACTTGGTTGGGATGGGTTTTCTCAAGAGATTCCTAACTTGACACTTTTCCACTGCTGGTTGTTCTTTAAGACACAAAGCCTAGGAGGCATCAGTTCTGAAGAACCACGCAAGAAGGCCAAGTATTGCAGCCTTACCTGTGTCTAGTCTTCCTAAATCACCTGCCCCATTTAGCAGCAGGTTCACCTATTTCCCCCCTCCCACCCCTCCCCTCCCCTGCTGTACTGCTGGTGTACAACTGCAGTGTGAGCTGCAGGTTGAGCTCAGGGAGGTGGGAGATCCAGGCACCAGGCAGTGAAGTGCCACCCTTGCATAAGAAAGGGCCTGGGAACCTGCGGTCCTGCCAGGGGACTGGACACTTGGAGACCCGGCAGGGGTTGAGGACTCCAGACAGTGATTCATCCAGACAGTGAGGGTACAAAAGCCCAGGGTTTCCTCTGTTCAGGGGCCCTTGCTTGGAGGCACCAGCTCTAGCTGTTGTTTTGTTGTTGCACCAAGATTAAATTATATTAAGTATGCAGATGTGTGAGACACGCTACGGGAAAGCTGATCTCTGTGAGTGCAGCTGTGAAGGAGCCTCAGTCCCAGCTCAGGTGGTGTGAGAGTGACTCCCAGACTAGCTCCTGGATGGTCAGACAGGGAAGTTTCTTTAACATTGTGACCCTTGGCATTCCTTGCTAGTTTCAACATTACAACTTCGGCTTTCCAAGCTTCATACCTACATGTCCAGACAGTTTTTATCCTTCTTCTTTATGGTCTGTCTTTGCTTTCAACTCCTGTATATGTTCTTTTTGCTCTCCCCACAGTGCAGATGTAGCTGTGCCCATCCCTTAACACATTTACTTGTCATGAGGATCAGGATAGAATGTCTCTGTCCTTACTGACCTCCACCTATTCAGCTCTTCCAACTTTGAAAGTTGCCTCCCCTAAAATCTCAGCTACCTGTTGCCTGAATAAGTTTAAGTCCTGAAGCCTCGAAAAGACAGAATCCATGTTCTGTACTCTGTTACTAGCCTTCCTCACTACATTCAAGGTCTTGAACTCCACTGTTAAGTAAACTTCCCAGTCACACTCCCAACACCAGAGACTTTCACTGCTGGGACTGAAGCCTCTTCACAGTGGGTGGCTCCAGTGAACCAATGGGAGCCACACTTGACTCCCTACACACCCCACTCACGCAGTCAGACCAGGTTTCCCTACTATTTTGACACCAGGTTTTCCTTAGCAAAGTCTCAGACATCTCATTCCATAAAGCAATTTATTCACAGCGCAGTAACACAGAAACAGCTCAAGCTGTTGCCTCCAAGGACGGACCCCCAACAAAAAAAGCCTCTGAGCTTTTATACCCTGACAGCCTACCTGCACCCAAGTCTTGCTATTCCTCCTGAGTCCTCTGCTCCCGCCGTCCCTCCCAGTGTCCATCCACCTCACTGGCTCCACCCGTCTTTGTGCCCTTTTGTTATCCAAAGGCTGTGTTTGCTGTGCCTCTGTGTCCACTCACTTGGCCAACACCACTCATCTTCTTGCCCTTTGTTATCCAAAGGGTTGGGCAGTTCATGGCCTCATGTCTCTCTTGGCTCCCACCCAAAGCTCAATTTGCAGCTTGGAAACCGAGCCACCTGAACCAGATGTATTCCTCAACATCCACTATTCCATGGTGGGTTGTAGTGGGTTGACCCTGGCTGGATGTCAGCCACTCACCAAGGTCCCCTTCTCAGCTGGACGGGAAAGAGAGAATATAACAAAGGCTCACGAGTTAAGGACTGGGAGAGATCACTCACCAAATACCATCACAGGCAAAACAGATTCAAACTTGGGATATTAACTGAAGTTATTACTAACAAAGTCAGAGCAGGATAATGAGATGTAAAATAAATCTTAAAACACTTTCCCATCAACCCTCTCTCCTTCCCACCAGCAGCTCAGGAAGATGGAGAATGGGGGTTATGGTCAGTTCATCACAAGTTGTTTCTGCTGCTGTTTAGAGAGAGGTCTCCTTCCCCTGCTCCAGCATGGGATCCCTCCCACAGGAGACAGTTCTCCATGAACTTCTCCACTGTGAGTCCATCACATGGGCAACAGTTCTCCATGAACCTCTGAGATATGGGTCACTCTTCCACAGGGCTCAGTCCTTCAGGCACAGCCTGCTCCAGTGTGGGTCCCCCAAGTCCTGCAAGGAAACCTGCTTCAGCGTGGGCTCCTCTCTCCACAGGTCAAGTCCCTGCCAGGACCCTGCTCCAGCACAGGTTTCCCATAGGTTCGCAGCCCTCTCTTTGGCATCCACATGCTCCGATGTGGGTCTCCTCCACAGGCTGCAGGTGAATCTCTGCATCCCCATTGACCTCCATAGGCTGCAGGGGGCCATCCTGCTTCACCATGGGCTGCAGGGGAACCTCAGCTCTGTCACCTGGAGTACCTCCTCCCTCTCCCTCTCCAATGATCTTGGGGTCTGCAGAGTTGTTCCTCTCACATATTCTCGCTCTGCTCTTCTCTGGCTGCAATTACATCTGTGCAAGAACTTATCTTTTTTGTTCTTAATTACAGAGGCATTACCACCATTTCTGATTGATCAGCCTTGGCCAGCAGCATGTCCCTCTTGGAGCTGCCTGGCTCTATTGGACATGGAAGAAGCTTCTAGCAGCTTCTCAGAGAAGCCAACTCTGTAACCCCCCACACATCCCTGGCTCCCACTACTAAAACCTGGCCATAAACTCAATACACACAGCCACTACGGCCAAGGCTGTTAATAATTACCATATTCTTGACTTCCCTGTTTACAAAAAGACAGTTCAGGAAAGCATCACCCCTGGTTGACTCATCTCAACACCTAGATAGAGAAGCTGTGCCCAACACCCTTTGTTTTTTACAACAATGGTTTCCAACGATAAGAAATTTTCAATTACCAGCATAAAAACTCACATAAACTCTTTCATGGCTGTAAGAAAATACTACCAAGTACCATTTAGCCCAACTGTCAAAAATAATTAAAAGAAATATAACAAATTTTAAGAAGTTTCACAGAAGTAGGCCCGGTTTTTTGCTAGCTACCTCATAGCATTACTAAAAGTTGCGGTGGCAGCTGCATATAAGTGCCTCGACACCACAGATGTTCAGAGAAGAACAGAATACAGTCGTAGTCCATTTTTCTCAAACTCAGCTACAAAATATTTAGCTCGATTAAGAGGCTACAGGCAACACAAGTAAGAAAACCCATCCCTTTGCACTCTAGCCCCTTTCCCTAGCAGTCTGCTAGGGAAGCATCGAGGGAATGCCACGAGCGAGGGGAAGCATCGCATGGCTCCTTTCGGGTACCACGCTGCCCGGGCCCGCCGCGCCTTTCCCGCTCAGGGGATGCAGGACGGGCTTTCGGCCGCCTCCTCACCACCTCCCGCGGCAGGAGCGCGGCTGCAGCGCCATGTCCCGCCCTCTCCCCATCCCCAGGCAGTGCCTCCCTGTGCCGCCCGCCATGTACCTCACTCACACGCAGCGTGTCCGGCTGCAGCGGCCTCAGGCGTTCCCACTTATCGCGGCTAGCCATGTCCGCCCGGCCCCTCCTCCTCCTCGCCCCGGCCGGCCCCGAGAAGCCGGAGGAGGGAGGGTGCTCGGTCGCCCTCACGGGAAGGCTCCGAGCCCCGGCCGGGCGGGGGGCGCCGCGGGGCCGCTCCCGCGCTCAGCGCAGCCCGTCATGGCCGCCGCCTCCCGCCCCCCATTACCCATCGGCCCCCGCGGTGCGCGCGCTCGGCAATGTCCGCCACCTTCCCGCCCTGCCCAGCTCGTCCCGGCTTTTCCCGCCCCCGTCGGGGCATCCCCCCGGTCCCGCCGAACGTCGGGAGGGAATGCGCTAAAGCAATGCCTTTCCTCCCCCTCTCGTCACCGTCCCAGAGCGGCGGAGAAAAGGGTCTGCTCGCCCCCGCTTCCTCCTCGCCTGTGCCGGCAGCGGGAGCGCCCCGAGCCCTGCGGCAGCCAGTGTAGGCTAAGGGGGAGGATCCCGGAATATGCTGATTTTGGAAGGGACTCACAAGGAGCATCGAGTCCAACTCCTGGCCCTGCATAGAACACTCCAGTAATCACACTGTGTGTCTGAGAGTATAATCCAAGCACCTCTTGAACTCTTGTCAGACTTGGTGCTGTGACCACTTCTAAGGGGAGCCTGTTCCAGTGCCCAGCCACCCTCTGGGTGAAGAACCGTTTTCTAATATCCAACCTTAACCTCCCCTGGCACAAGTTCAGGCCATTCCCTTGGGTCCTGCCACTGGTCACCAGAGAGAAGGGATCAGTATCTGCCCGTCCTCATCCCCTCACGAGGAAGCTGTAACTGCAACCAGGTCTCCCCTCGGTGTCCTCCAGCTGAACAGTCAAGTGACCTCAGCTGCTCCTTATACAACTCCCCCTCAAAAGAGAGGAGGTCCTCACCATTTTGGTTACTGCAAGGAGGGAGATTTTTCTTCCTTCAGTGTACAGCAGTTACGAACCACCTCAGGAAAAAGGGGGGGTGTAACCCAGGTTCTTATCAATAATTCCCTTGGGGTGGATTAGAGTGAAACGATACTGAATAATCGGTGTTTGAAAACATGTATAGGTAGGGTTTATTTTAAACACATATAGGTAGGGTTCATTTTAACAATTTTGTTTGAACAGGTATGTTAGCATTTTGGCTGTTGTCATCTATATCATCTATCATAGAGATAACCCCTGGGGGGAAAATGCATAAGGGAGAGAAAGGAAAGACAGGATAAGGGAGAGTAAGGGAAAGAAAAGCTGAGAGTGGAAAGATATATATGTATATATATAGTCACCGCCCACGGGGTCCAGCGATGAAACTTGGTAGTTGCAGCTTCCATGTCTGTCAGTTGAAGTGGTGGCCTTGATCTGTTGGGGGTGAAGGGGAGAAGCCCCCCCACTTGAAGAAGTTATGAGTTACTATATCCGTGATTAGTGTCACAGACCATGCCACGAGCCTCCAGCATCTCCTGGGTCTGTGCTGAGCTTCTGTGAGGGGCCTGGCCAAAGGTTTTTTCCTGCCTTTCAAGATTGGCGGGGGGGGGGGGGGGGGGGTGGTATGGGGCATCAGAGGTGTAATGCAAAAGTCCTACAGAAGCCTGCAAAAGTCCCTTGGCAATCCTAGAATACATAAATCATTAACCTTTTCAGTCTCTGACAAGCATAAGCAAGGAGAGAGCACCCTGCTGTGCAAATATGTGTGAGAATAATTAGTATTGCTTTCTTGCCAAATAATCTGTTTCTGTCGTGACTTCCTAGTACGAGGCAGCCAAAGCTGCGTGTGTCACTCACGGGGCAGACACAGATAGAATGCCCATGTCACGAATGAGTTAATTACGAGAGGCTCATTGGTGAAGGGCAAGGTATGTTCCTCTTGGGCCAGACACGAGTGAATGTGGCTTGTCCAAACTCAGCCTGTCCATTTACCTCCTATCAACATCCTTTCCCCAGTGCTCCTGCCCTTTCCTCCACACTCATAACCTTTTTCAAGCACTGACTGACACCTTGCTGATTTGCCAACGTCAGCAATAATATAAAAATTTCCAATTGAGTAGGTAACTTCTATTTGTTGGACAAAAACATTTCTTTTAAAAACAGCTCCTTGTTAAATAGCCCATCTGTTGCTTGGTTGCTCTTTATGGCAATTAACTCTCCTCTAAAACAGATAAGTCTGTCATGGAGTCCTTTTGCTTAAAGAATTTATGAACTGTTCCACTTCCCCATCTACACTTCAAGTAAAATTTCCAGTCACTTCCCCTCCCCAGTTTCATCGGGCATTGTGTAAAACTGCCAGTCTGGTATGAAGAATTCAAAGCCATGAAGAACTTTGTTCATATTCTCACACGCCAGACTGAACAGGTCAAATAACACTCCGATATTTGAAAAAAATACTGAATTAATTTTTATTTACTAGCCTTTCCATTTAGACAATCCTTTGGAGTAGGTTATGGTATCACCAATGATAGATCAGATGCCTTGATAGAGGGTGGAGTTTTCTTCATAGCAACCAATTTTCAATCAAGTACTTGCTTGGTAATAATTGTCCTTGTAGAGAACTGTTGAACTAAGGTGACTTGTTCTGGTATTCTAATGAATTAATGAGAGTAAAAAGGGGAAAAATATGTTACAACTCCTCAAAAGCATGACATCTGTGCTTTAGGAGACATGAAGTCTGGAGCTATGAATTTCAAGACGTCATGCAAATGCTGATTGTCAGTATTGCGAGAGGCGAGGTTAGACTGCTGCAGAAGGTTTTCCTGTCATGGAAGGGACACATGATTACACTGAAATGTTAAAATGCTCATTTTTGTATGGGCAGCATAATCCAATTGCTAACTACTCTGTGGTGATAAACTTAGTCCCATAAATAATGAGTATTTCTCCCTCTTTGTTATACTGTGGAAGATGAATGTTATCATTGCAATTACAGATTGTATAAACCCACTGTGATAAAGCAGGTTTTTTCCAGCTGGAACAGCAAAATGGTTTGGAGTAGATGTCTTAGGCCACTTTAGTTTGAGGTGATGTAAGGAATATGTCATGCAGTGTGAAAGTCATTGAATAGGATTTGGTGACTGTTGGCTGGTCAGATATTAAGAGGGAGGCTAGCGACTCATAATCTGAGGATTAGGGTACATGAATTCCTGTATTAACCCATGTGGAAAACATTGCATCAACATTTAGCTATGCTGTTGTTCTAGCCAGTCATAAGATCAAATCCTGTTGTTCCTGTGCTTCTCTGTCCTTGCCTGCTGACGTATCTAATGGAGCAAAGAAGAGCCCCACATGGATTCAGAGTCAGGAAGAGTTTTCTGTATTTACATGAAAATTAAGAAGCCTAATTATTTTTTAAAATGAAAATTAGATTTTGAACTAACTCACTTGACTGTCAGAGTTTTTGCTGTGGCATTCTACAGATCAAAGAGTTTGATTCTAATGTGTTATTATTTACATTTGACACATTTTTTATTACTCCTGTAGATGAAAATGAAACTTATACCCCATTTACTGTTATTTTAATGCATATGAAAATGGTTGTGCATTCTTTTTAATATCTCCAGACATTAGTCATATAAGACATGATACTTAAAATGAAAGATTTGCTTATTTATCTGAATTCTTTTTTAATTGCATTGATTCTTAATGTGCCACCAGGGGGCAATAATTCCATTTCCTAAATCTGATCCTTTACCATCAAAACCTGCCAGAACAAGTGGGTTCAGTAACATTTTTGAGGGACTATATGTGGAAATCAAAACATAACTTTCTTAAAATTACTTCCTTGTGTAATTTAATATTTTACCCTGCCCTACTTAGGCATGTAGGTTTTATTTTGAGCAGCTAAAATTAGACTGCTTTGTAAAAACTTTTACCAGTGAACCTCATGCAGTGGTATAATGGTGCAAGGTTTGGATTTCATTCAATATAGGATATTTTGTTGTTTTTATATTTCCATTGTAAGATTAAAAAAAATGTTTTGAGTGACACTACTTTCCTATTATTTTTTTTTTTTGCTACACTAATATCTTATTAATATTTATTAGCCTATATATGTGATCCTGAATTTGGGAATTATATCTCCTGACAGGTACCTCTATATCCTTATATGATATATATTTTTTCTTTATGTACATAGTAATTCCAGCATACTGCAGTTAAAGCCAAAATTGCCTTCTGCCTACAATACTGTATCAAATGCAGTCTTCCCTTTCACAATTGTAACTGGATCTTCCATTATGTGCATATATATTGTTGAAAAGATGAGCCAGAGGAAATATCTTCCTGCAAAGGTGCAAAAGTACAAAATCATGAAAGACAGCAATAGCTGTAAGTATCTGTTTAAACTTCAAGGAATTACAGAATCATCCATATTTTTGTATATTAGTATGTCTGTCTGTATAAATTTTCAAGCCTCCCTAAGTTCCTCACCACTGCATAAGGATTAGGCATAAAGGTATAAATTTTTATGCTCTAAAATGTAATGACTTAAATCTGTTTCTGGCAATAGTAGAGTCTTTCTTGATGTGCTCAGCTTAACTTGACTAAAAAAAAATTTCCTGTATACTTGGCAAATAGTCATCCATTAATTTAAGAAGGCAGATCTCTTATTTCTTCACTTTGTTGTATGAATATGAGGAAGATCAAGTCAGTTAATCAGATCTGAACAGCACAGTGCTAAACAACATTCTTTTTTGTCATGTCTTGAATGGCACTTAGAAGTCATGGATGTGGTATCATGTTGTATACGTAGGGTTTAGCTCATGATACAAACTGAAGCTCTTACTTTTTGTACCTGTAATTCAGAAAAGAAGTTATATAGATGGAAAAAGTACCCTTAAGGTGACATTAAAGGCTATGTAACTAGCAAGTGCTTGCTGCATATGAACACTGGTGTGTCTTTTTAAAAAGGTTCAGTGAATATTGTGTTCTTAATAAGGTTTGGATATTTGGCAGCAAGCCATCTGCCAGAGCCTAAGGATTCTAGGCAAAGGTCTTAACAGAGCCTGCTGGAGGTTTTCATCTGTGCTAAGGAGTTTAGAAACAGAAGAAGATTCCTGTTGCATATGGGCATTATTATATTTGTTGTTTGTATCTTTTGAGTTGCAGAGGAGGTGCAAAATTCCCTGATGTATTTAATTTTGTCAGCTTTAAATGTATGAAAAAGTTGAAGTATGGTCTCGTGAGATGGTTAGCTTTAT